GTTAGGGAAGCCATCCGAGCAACTCTTTTCTTCCGAAAAACCAATGCTCCAACAATGGACCATTCCATTGAGTATGACCAAGGAATCATCAAAGAGCTTGTTGCTAAGATGGTATGTGTTCATGAGTATTCATTTATAATGGTTGAACATAAATGATTCAACATTCTAATGAAAAGCATGAATCCAAATTATCAACCCATTGGAAGGAAGGCAATAAAAAGTGAGTGCATGCAGGTTTTCCATAGAGAATTGCATAGAGTGGGACATATGCTTGTGACCATGCTCATATAGAAATTGAATATAGATGAGAATTTGAACATGTGCTTGCTGTTTTTAACTCATATGCTTGCGACCATCTTCGATACAAGGTACAAGATAAATTACATAGAGTGGGCCTTTGAAGAACTTTATGGACCGATGAGATGTAAACATTAGTTGGACCTTGTAATGGAATAGTTGGAGACCTTGTATGACAAATGTATTGCCCAAGATAATGGAGTGGAGCAGAAGCAAGTGCTTCTTTGTCTACAAGCATCCCAATTCAAGCTGGGTATGAGTCCTTCTTATCGGCCCGTTCAACACAAATATCAAAGAGTGAGCTTAGAAATTATCTAGCGGATAAATGTGAGCCTCCCAAAGTTCCTCTTGATCTTCTTGGCTGGTAGAAGGTGCATGCTCCTAAGTACCCAATGATGGCAAAGATAGCAAAATAGTTCCTCACTATCCCGGCTACCTCTGTCTCATCGGAATCAACCTTTAGCACGACCGAAAGAATTTTAGGTATTTCAACTTATGCTTTTAAACTTTGGATATGAACTTGTCAACTTCTCACCCTCGAACTAACATTTGTCAACTTGTGTTGTATTATATGTTGGGATCTACGGTAGGGTGCGTCGGCTGCAAATTAAAATTTCCTGCGCGCAGAACAACCAAGAACATGCTACGGGAGATGCATCATAGTTCGTTACCACTAGACGCGCAGTGCCGTGCAGCGGAAGTAGAGTTGAGGCAGCGCGTCCGCGTGGATCGTCTCCTCCTCGTCCGATCTCACTCAAACAGCCGGTCGTCCGATCCCACGTATAAGTTTGCCGGAGCGACACAAGTGCACTGCCTCTAACGGTATCCGCGCCTGCAGGAGGAACACCGTGTGGCGGACTGCTAGGTCCGATCACACAGTCGGCGGCGAGTAGAGGTGGCTATTCGCAACACATCCAAACCCTAGTCGCAACGCCGAAGCGATCAACCGCATGAGTGTGCCGCACCTCCACTTTATATAGGCATTCGTCACAGGCTCAACACTTGGGCCTCGCACGGACCCTAAAGCCCAAAGTCTACTCGGTCACGTTCCTTGTCCAGTTCGGATCACATCCGACTAGTGTCCTACGAACCAACCTCGTAGGTTCCTTCCCTTAAGCGCGCGACCCCTTAGGTTCAAGTCGGCTTGGTCACAGTTCGGATCACCTCCGACCTGCACGGTTGGTAGCGACCTCTAGCAAGGCGTGCCAACCACCAAGCAGACTATGAAGCTGGTTAGGCGAACCTGTACAACGTGTCACACTTCTGTTCCCTTTGCCGCACAATATATGTTGTCGGGCTGAAGGCGAGACTGTCATCCTTGTGCTAGCCCGACCTCTTTCTCGTCCAGTGATCCCGCCAACTACCCGGATTATCTCATAATCCTTGTCGCATGGCCATGGTTCTCCTGGTCGGATCACACGAGGGGCCCAGAGTATATCTCTCCTGATCGGAGGGGAAATTCCCATCTTGCTCGACCATGTCTCGCAGCATGGGACTGGACAAACCCGAAACCTACATTTGTAACTACCCAGTCATGGAGAAGCGTTTGGTCGGCCCAAAGCAAGTCTGTCACCATCCCGAGTACATGCGTCAGCTCAGGTCTTAGGACATAGAACGTATGTTATACTAGAGACTCACAGATGACATATCGCTGCGTCTCATAGTTGGGTCTGTCCGACTCAGACCTTATCTCGACTCGGATCCGACTACGTCGAATCCGACCAGACCTTTCCAAGTCCATATTATCCGGTTAGCATCCAATGCTCCATTGCTAGTGAGACCAAGCCATCGACCGTGTCATATGCTAGTCTAGTCGGCTGCGCGTCCACATAGCCCTTTCGACTAGGGACCTTTTAGGACAGTCGTCATACAATGCATAGTCCCACAAACAAGTCACATACTTGCTGATACACATCATTGATAATGTCCAAGGACTATCTTTATTCATAAACACATAGGAAATATCATCATACATGATTGCCTCTAGGGCATATCTCCAACATTATATGACTATAGGAGTTCTCTGAAACCCTTTACGGTGGAGGCATTGGTTTGTAGTGCAAGTTATATCAAGGGTTCACACATCGACTTGAATGTGTTGGTATTTTTGCTATTTTCTCTTTACATTTTCTTGTATTTTGTTTGTCCTATGTGATGTGAAAATTTGGCTATGTAGCCGAGGGAGGATGAGGAGGATGAGGATGTTGAAACCATAAAGCGACCCTCCTAAAGTGTGGCGAAGAGGAACAATTGGTAACTACTATTCCTACATGTTTCACTAGTCATACTTGTCATATGATACCCAATATGTTTATATGGACGTCTCTTTTCTTAATTGTAGACATGTGGATGTTGCTCTTGCTATTTTGGAGATGGATTCCAAAGAGATTTTCGCATGTGGATGCTACTTTTGCATTTGCGTTAGTGTTGGACTTGCATATTGTCATTGCAAGTTTGAAGATGAACTATTCATTTGTGTATATTTGAAACCACTCATTTGTGTTATGTTGGAACTTGCAATTGTTATGAACTATGAAATGTCATTGCAAGATTGTAATTGTGTCATTCAATGATGATAAGAACTCATGTTTGAATTGTGGATGTGATACATGTTGTTTGTTGTTGTTAAAATTCAGTGTTTTGATGTCCAGAATTCAATGAAATGTTATACAAATTTTTAGTATGTCCATTTGCTTTACAAATTAAAAGAGATGCCTACAGTGGCAAAAATGCTCACTAAGAGAGGCAACAACCGGTCCAAAGGAAATTTGTTGTTTCTCAAGCTGACTGCTTGTTCTGCTCCAAATAAATCAACCCAGATTCTTCTTCAGCTAGCTTGCATGCACTGCTTCAGACGAATCGATCGAGCTGCATGCCCGCTAGCTTGCACGTACTCAAATGAATTGATCAAGCTGACTGCTACTGTGCTAGCATCACGTACTGCTTCAAATGACAGATCCAGCTCCCGATCCATTCGGTCCTCTCGGGCCTTACCGAGCTGGGGTGTTGCCGGTCCGGTCTTGAGAAGCGGACCGCTTGGCAGCTCGGTCTGGACCGGCCGTGGCCGGTCCAAAGCACGGCTCGGTCAAAGACCGGACCGGCCTGGACCCGTCCAGCCTGATTTGTGTTTCGAAAAATTATCTTTGGGGTAGTCAACGTAAGGACCTAATATGTCAGTAGATCAACAACATTATGCAGA